CTACAACAAAAAAGGAAAGCATTTCGTTATTCAGATAAAGCATTCTTTAACACCGTTAGGTCCTCATTAAATGGAGGGCTGATCTAGTTCTCTCAACTGGTCTGTGCGCAGATTCAGATGCTGCAAAACCTGTAACCTCTCATGACCTTTGCAAGTACAAGCTTGGGGTTTCTGAGTTGATTTATGTTTGCCTGCTTTTACCACAGTTGGACACTTCCATTTCATCTTTTCATGGGGGAATTAGCAGAGTTTTCAGGAAACAATACCGGCAATACTCTTTTCAATTCAGAAGGAAGACAAAAAATTGGTGAAGGCAGAAGGATGTTCATAAGGGCATCTGTTACCTCCCCTAATTAGTGACATTTCTGTCTTATGTTCTCTGACTTCTTTTTACAGGTTTTATCAAAACCTTCCCTACCTCTTGCAAACCTAATTCTATTTTAATGCCCACTATTAAGATAATGAACTGTGATGGCAGTACACCATCAAATGAGGGAACGTCTGGAGTTTTATCACCACTACCTCACACTGCTGGGGACTTCAGAGCAAAGCATTCCTTGTAGAGATTTCTTGGTGGGTTTTTTTTCCCTCCTCTTTATGCAAAGTCTGAGGGGTCAAGGCGAGGTCATAGCTATACAGTAATTGAATTTATAATCCTGTTTTCTCCAGCTAGGCCTGACCATTTACAGCAAACATCTTATTAAATTGTAATTACTGTACTACTGACAAAATCCCCTCCACAAATGAAAAGAAGCTCTTTTGAAATAAAAAGGTACTTTAAAAATTGTCATTTGAAACCATAGTCATAGATTATTTTTAACTCTTAAGCTCGATTAGTTTTGTAATTGTTATGCTGAAAATTATATTCAAAATCAAAAAAGAAGACAGGTAATAAGAACAAAATCTCATCTTGGTCTATTCCGAATACAGCCTTAATGGCATTAAAGCTGTAAGACACAAGAACATAATCAATGAAAAATATTTTAATGTTCAGTGGTCAAACTTCATTCATTTTGATTTCACTAATCAGGGATCCTAGCAAACAGCACTCTGAAAAAGTCAGCCTCAACCAACTTATCAGCCAAGTGGAGTGGAGAGTATTTCCTAAGAAGATTTTCTTATTTTTACAAAACATAATACAGTATTTACCAGTAGACAATGAAGTGTTAGTATAAGTGAAACCAATATACTTGACAAAATAAATCATCAAAGCAGATCTTGTGAACCAGTATGCGGAACTTGTTTGCCTTGTGTTCATTTGCTGCAAGATCTTTTCTGTAATATCATTAAAGGTACCACAACATCCCAGCATGAATCTGGTCTGGCTGCTGATTGTTCTAAATTGCCATGGAACAGTGATAAAAAAATATACAACTTTATACTGTTTTTACTTCAATAAGACATCCCTAGCAAAAAATACATTTGATTGCCCCGTCTCACACACGCTTCTGAGTTCCATTCAATAAGTCATCAGAAAGTTAATCAAGGTGTGGGTCATGAATGATCAATCTGGTCTCACCAACATGCACTCTGGAAATGTTTCACACAGAGACATGCATAATCTGGGCCCTCTTTTGCAAAGCTTATGCACAAATTTGGTCATATTTGTCATTATCAGTGTTGTGTCCATTTTTATACAACCTTCTAAGAAAAAAAATTAAACCACAGCAAACAGTGTTGCAAATCAGTTTATCATTATCTTGTACAAACCATGAAAATTAGAATCATGTGAGCAGAAGGTTAGAAGAATTCTCCTTTCTCATTATAAGCACAGGTGTAGCACAAACACCATGTGAAATAAGCAATTAAAAAAAAATCTGTTTTTTCCCCATTAGCTGCCTCAGCTCCATGACCAATTAGAAAATTGTTTAATATCAGTAATCTGCATTAGCAGAAAGCAATTTTCACAGCAACTCTCTTAAGTAAAAACAACAATAATCCCCCTCCCCAAGCCATTTATTTTTGCAAGCCCCACAGGCTTGGGCTTTTAATGTTTCCTCCACCCTTGAAATAAAGACTGCTGAATACCTATCGTAGTAGGAGGCCCTTGGGGTAAGTGGGAAAGAGGGGCCCTTTCTGCTAGCCCTCTAAGATCTGGGAACAGTTGTATTAGTTGGCTTTCTGTGAAAACCCCTTTTTAGGGACATTTTTTAACCCAAACCAACAGCTACACATCAACATCTTAAATAAACTGAAAACACTTACTAGTACAAATGACTGAACTTTTCAACCTTTCCCTATCTTCAAAAGATACACATTATTATTTAGCAGGTACCTTTTTGAATAAAGTGTTTAGTCTACTATTTACTAACAGTTATCAGTAAGAACTACCTACAATCAACTATACTTTCACCTGTTTGCCCCACACTGCCACTTGGGATGTTTACTTTAACTACATTTTACACACAGGCACTTCATAATTATTGCCCTTTTAAACATTCTCACATGTATTTTATGTAAGTAGATATTCAGCAAAACAGCCATGTGTTTGGATGTCTTCAGGGTGAATTCAGACGCAAGAACATTTTCCTTCTGGGCAAAGTAATAAAATGACATTCTTGCTCCTCCCACTAGAAGTCAAACTGAGGTCAGCTCCCCATCCTTGTATCTGTTTAAATAAACTGGTCCAGCTGTTTGTTTCGAAAATGCCCTTTAACCTTCTGTCCCATCCTCCCTGCTTTTGTAACAGAACTCTTTACTTTGCATTATAGTAGTTTCCAAACTACTATGCATAAAAAAGTATCTACTTTCAAGTTACTGTTTTGTGTGTGTGAACCAAAACTGCACGTTAGATTAAAAGCATCTATGCATGTTGCATTAAGAAAGTAAAATTTGGTTAAATTATATTTATAAATCACATTTTACAATTCTTCACAAAAGATATTCAGTTTTGTAGGGGGACATATGGATATAGGAATACATTCTGCATGTTGCCTGTTCCTCTCCTTGAAAAGAAGTGCCAACAGCAAAATCATCATTTGAATTCGCAAAATTTTCTGTTGGTTAAATGATGGAAATCCTATCCACAACAAAGCGGTGGCACAAAATGTTATAAGGAAAAACTCCAACTGCCCCAATACCCCATGTCACCCACATTTCCCAGGTGGTAATATTCAATCATCTTTAGAAACCTTACTATATTAGGAAGAAAAAGACAAAAGGAATCAGGACTTATTTTTAAGGAAGTATTTTCCTCATAAAATAAATGCTTATTAAAACCTAATTTTCTCAAAATATCACCTCCTATTATAAATTACGGTCTCTATTCAAGCAAAAGCTTAAGCTCATGCATAAGGTATATTCATAATATTGCTATTATGAGTAAAGTTATTATGCATGCTTGAGTGTTTGCACAAAAAGTGGGGGGTTTTTACACACACATCATGTATACCAATAAAGTTGTCCTGCTGTAGACTCCGCACCGAATAAGAGAGTCAACAGCAATTCAATTTGTCGAAGTGGTAGTTAGACTTACCACAAAACTGAATAAAGTTAGCTTGTTGCATGGAATTTGGTGAAACAATGCAAATACAAATGGGGCTTTTTGTGTGGTGTAAAAAATGGAACAGTTGGACAAATATTCAGGCTCAGGGAGGTTGAATTATGTTTTTAAGTTAAACTTATTTTTCCTCCCTTTTCAAAAACAATAAGTTGCATTCTTGCTTTGTGAACCAAGAAAAAACTGCATCCAATTTGTGTAACTTCTCTCCAGTCTCTAAAGAGGAGCAAGAGGCCACTCTTACCCTTTTGTTAAAAAATGTATTTTGCAGGAATGTTATCTTTTAAACATCTCCCTGCTCCCAACCTGCTCCAGAGGTATCTCTAATTCTCCTCCACTCCAAGGTCTCTCCATTCTGACAATGAGCATCTCTGGTCACATGGATAAGATTCAGATTGAGACCCAGTGATGCAGCAATCTGCCTTTGAACTTTGACCTTCAGCTCAGCTGCCTTCACTGCCATGCACAAGTTTTGTTTCCTCTCAATGAGAGGCAGCATGACTGGTGATGACAAAAGACTATTTTAGGTTGAAATTGGCTAAAATACCCCAGCCAGAAAGTGAATATTTTCACAGGGTCACAAAACCATTCAAAAGGCACATTTTGCTAGTTTCAGGTTACAGCCTGCATGGCATTTTTCAGAGATCTGTTCTTTTTTCTTTTGCTGCAGCTTCCTTTGCTCCTTGTGTGTAGTTCTCTGTGGTACTGGCTGAAAAGCGTGTATTTCACACTTCTATTGCATGAATAAAATGAGGCCCTCCCTGGCTATCACAGTTTTCTAAAGTCATCCTTTGCTCAAAAATGTACATAGTTGTGGAACCTTTCATTTTCCAGGTTCAGATTTAGATTTATTACAAGAATCCTACTGAAAATAGATAGAGTTCATTTTATAGACAAGTTTCAGCACCCCTCACCCTCCCCAAAAAAAGAATATTTTCACAACCTTTCCAGTCTTTGAGCCCTCAGGACTCATGCTGTTTCTTGTCAATTTCACACCGGAGAGTGGTCCAGGGGTTTGCATATCAGGAGAACTGCTATTAAGTGCCAAAAACACTTTGTTTCAATTCTTTTTGAAGTTTGTTCTAGCAATCCTGTCAACTACATGTTTAAGGGATTTTAAGAATAGCTACAAACACCATTGTTCATAACTCCTCTTGCAACTCTCTTCTTTAACAAGAATTATTCTTTAGCAATGAACACTCATTCCTGAATAGAAAGTATAAGCATATGTTAGGTTATGTCTTTGTACATGCCATTAAAGTACCTAAATTAACAATCAGCTTTATTTTTTTTAAACAGATTATTTTAAAAATCATTACCTCCATCCCCATATTTTCAGCTCTGAAATCGGCAAAGCCTTCACCTTTCAAATTTGCTATTTCCCATCCAATTTGCTGGAACCATCTATTTATCTAGTATTTAAACCATTTTCCCAATGCAACACCTTTTGTCTCCAGCAAAAATAATTACAATGTGAAGTGTGCTAAATAGTGACTCTTGG